TTGCCAGTTAGAAGACGGGGAAGGTACTTCGCTTTCTCTCATGCCTGCTATAGGCTGTCCAGGTCTCGCTCCCACCAGCTTCCGGAAGTGGGATGTGGGGGCCGCCCCACACAAGGCAGAGCGGGTTGAATTAGACCAGTGATGCTCAGACTGAGGGTCCTGAGCTCCAAGTGGCTCTTTAACGTGTCTCCTGCGGCTTGTGGCAGCGCATGATATTAAAACACCGTGTGACTGAATGATTAACCAGTCCAGAGACTTCTACTGTGTGAATAACCAAGTGTTGATAAAAGAATACTTGGTCAGTCGTTTTGCTGTGGGAATAATATAAATATAGAAAAATAGGCACCACCCCCGACCCTGCCCCTGCCCCAATTTCACCCCTTTCCGCCAAGTCCCTGCCCCACTCCTCCCCCAAGTGCGGTGCGTCCCCACTCCTCCCTCTCCTTCCCGCAAAGTCGTAAGCGCTGCCAAACAGCTGTTAGGCGGCGGGCAGGAAGCACTGGGAGGGGGAGGAACAGGGATGCCACGCTCGGGAGAGGAGGACGGGGTGGGGGTGGGGGAAGCTTGGCTGCCAGTGGGTGTGAAGCACCCACTAATTTTTCCCTGTGGGTGCTCCAGCCCCGCAGCACCTATGGAGTTGGCACCTATGTATATAAACTAAATCTTTCCGTCATGCTGTTTCAATAGGACTATACAGCACTATAGTAAATGAAACAATGAATTCACACGACTGAGACTCTGGGTAATGCTGATGGCTAATTTGGCTCCTGAACCACTGAGGTCTGAGTATCACTGAATTAGGCCAATTAACCTGATAGGCTGATTGATGAGGGAGCCCCACTGAGAAGGAACAGACAGGGCTGGTATAAAGCCAGGAAGCTGGCAGCAGAAGAGAGCTGCAGGGGAAGTGGCCAATGGGAGCTGTGGAGCCGGCGCTCAGGGCAGGGGCAGCACACGGAGCCTCTCTGGCCGCCCGAGCCTAGCAGCCACAGGGACATTCCAGCCGCTTCCCGGAGCCGCGTGGAGCCAGGGCAGGTAGGGAGCCTGCCTTAGCCCTGCTACGCCGCCGACTGGACTGACCGGAGCCGCCAGGGTCCCTTTTCGCCCGGAGGTTCCAGTTGAAAGCCGAACTCCTGGCAATCCTAAGTGGCATGTGGGCTGGACCTGGCTGAAAGACTAATCAAAGACATGAGAACTGGCAATGTGCTGGGCAAAACTACTACCTGTGGTATCTCGGGACGCAGGGCTAGCGATCTTCTTATTAGCTTCCTTGTCATGAATGAAGTGTGTAGGTGCTACTAGGAACATCAGAACAGCCACACTGGGTCAGACCAAAGGTCCATCTAGCCCAGTGTCCTGTCTACCGACAGTGGCCAGTGCCAGGTGCCCCAGAGGGAGTGAACAGAACAGGGAATCATCAAGTGATCCATCCCCTGTGGCTAGAGTTGCCAACTGTGTAATCACACAAACCCAAATGCCCTTGCCCTGCCCCTTCTCTGAGGCCCTGCCCCTTCTCTGAGGCCCTGCCCCCTCTCTGAGGCCCCGCCCCTTCTCTGAGGCCCCGCCCTGCTCACTCCATCCACGCCTCCCTCTGTCGCTCACTCTCCCCCCCTCCCCCCACAAACTCACTTTTAGCGAGCTGGGGCAGGGGGTTGGTGCATGGCGGGGCTGCGGTCTCTAGGCGGGGGCCAAGGGGTTTGGAGTGCGTGAGGGGGCTCCAGGCTGAGCCTGGTGTAGGGGGTTCAGGGGCAGGAGAGGGTGCAGGGTGCAAGTTGTGGGAGGGAGTTTGGGTGCTGGAGGGGGCTCCCAGGCTGGAGCGGGGGGTTGGGGTGCAGGCTCTGGGAGTTTGGGTGCTAGAGCCTGCTCAGGGCTAGGGCAGGGGATTGGGGTGCAGAAGGGGGTTCAGGGTGCCTGTTCTGGCCGAGAGGCGCTTACCTGGGGCCGCTCCTGGTCAGCGGCGCAGCGGGGCTAAGGCAGGCTCCCTGCCTGCCCTGGCCCCACGCCACTCCCAGAAGTGGCCGGCACATCTCTACACCCCTGGGGGCAGGAGCTCCGCACACTGCCTGCGCCATAAGCACCGCCTCCGCAGCTTCCATTGGCCACACTTCCTGGCCAATGGGCGCTGCACAGTCAGTGCTCAGGGCACTAGCTGTGTGTGGAGACCCCCCTGCCCCCTCCCCCCAGGGGCCACAAAGATGTGCCGTCCGCTTCCGGGAGTGGTGCAGGGCCAGGGCAGACAGGGAGCCTGCCTTAGCCCCACAGTGTTGCTGGACTTTTAGTGGCCTAAAATCTCTGAGTTTGGTGTCATTAGCCTCTGGGAGATAAGGCCTAATTCCAGGAGACTCCCGGCAAAACCGGGAGGTTGGCAACCCTCCCTGTCGCCCATCCCCAGCTTCTGACACCATCCCTGCCCATGCTGGCTAATAGCCACTGATGGACCTATCCTCCATGAATCTATCTAGCTCTTTTTTTAACCCTGTTATGGTCTTGGCCTTCACAACATCCTTTGGCAAGGAGTTCCACAGGTTGACTGTGCGTTGTGTGAAAAAATACTTCCTTTTGTTTGTTTTAAATCTATCTATTAATGTCATTTGGTGACCCCTAGTTCTTGTGTTGTGTTTCTCCACACCAGTGAAGATTTTATAGACCTCTATCATATCCCCCCTTAGGCGTCTCTTTTCCAAACGGAACAGTCCCAGTCTTTTTAATCTCTCCTCATACAGACCCTGTTCCATACCCCTGATCATTTTTGTTGCTCTTCTCAGTTCCTTTTCCAATTCCAATAGATCTTTCTTTGAGATGGGGCAACCACATCTGCACACAGTATTCAAGATGTGGGCGTACCATGGATTTATCTAGAGGCAACATGATACGTTCTGTCTTGTTATCTATCCCTTTCCTAATGGCCCCTAACATTCTGTTCACTTTTCTGACAGCCGCTGCACACTGAGCGGACGTGTCCAGAGAACACTAAGTGGGGAGCAGTTGTAATTTCCAGCCAGGACCAGCAAATAGCACAGAGGTTATTCAGGTGTAAAACCTGGGAAGAGAATAACTAAACGATAGTCATCTGAGACCACGGGACGTAGCAGCTTTGGAGCAAGCGCACTGCACCCCCCACAGCACCACACTGCGCACTGCACCCCCCACAGCACCACACTGCGCACTGCACCCCCCACAGCACCACACTGCGCACTAACCCTGCTGCATCTTAGGAGGTATCTAGGCTACTTTACATCCGTGCAAGAGGCTGATCCACAGGCAGTTTGCAGCTCCCCCCGTCCCTTCCCCAGCCATGCCATGCACCAGACTCAGCCACTCTTTCAATCACTTAACCAGTGTCTCTGCCAAGCTGCCTAGGACACATTCATCCCAGCCCCAGGAGCAGTGCTCAGCTTAGGGTGACCAGACGTCCCGATTTTATCGGGACTGTCCCGATATCTGTTTGTTTGTCCCGCGTCCCGACTGATGTTCGGCCGGGACACTGGACAAACAAACACTTTTGCCCTCCGCTCAGGCGCTTGCACACACCCCCCCCGCCCCAACTCCCGCCCC